GGGGCAGTTAGGTTTATTTACCCCCATGTTCTGTGTCTCATTGGTATCGATCATGTTCAGCCTTTTACCTTTTCTGATGAGACACTTTGATAAGCTTTTCCACTCTTTCAAGAAATGATGGCTGCACAATACATTTGAATTTGATTGAATTTGCAAAATGTACAAGTGTAATATTCAACAATATTTGTTAAAGGTTAAATGAAGTCTTATGGAGCAGCAGAGACATCTTGCTTACAAATCCTAGTGTACAAACGTAACAAAACATATGTTTGGTATAGAGCTTCTCAATAAATCACACCATGATCATTTCAATAAATGTTTCAATGATAATGATGCAAAAATGATTAATCTCTCCTATATCGTATTCGCAATATTAGTTAAAATAATCGCAATTAGCTACTTTTTCCATATCATGAAGCCCTGCAAGAAATATAAGAATCAGAATCAGAATAAATCTGCACTAACCCTAACCCTAATGTTTCCAGTCTTCTACCATTTCCTTTCCACTAACCCACTAAATCAGAACCATCATTGGTGTCCTTACCGGCCTGGTTGGTGGTGACGGTGACGGACACGGCCTGCTCGGGGCCCGGACTCTGAGGCGAGACCCCGTTGACGGCCCACACCTCGAAGGTGTAGTTGGTGTGGGCCTGCAGCTCGTTGATGGACACCTTGTTGCCCTTCAGGCTCAGCTGCTGGGGACTGAAGTGGATGCCGTTCCCGCACGCCTGACAGCGGCGGCCATCGGGTCCGCAGCGCTTACACACCACGTTGTACGTCAAGTCCTGGCGGCCCCCTGTGGTGCGGGGGGGGCTCCACTCCAGGTTCACTGAGGTCTCGTTCACATTGGAGATGAGGTGGGCGGGCGCCGACGGAGGGCCTGTGGAGGAAGATAAGAAGATAAGATAAGAAGTACTTTATCAATCCCAATTTGGGAAATGTTTGCGTTGCAGCAGATATATTTCTGTATCCATATTTTCATATATTATATACACTGCTGCTCTGACAAAATAATGTCCTAATTTGGGATAAATAAAATATCTATCTATCACATTTTTGTAATTTTCCTCCATGCAACTTCATCCATTGTTTCCTCTCACACACAAATACTTAAGCGCACCCTTTTCTAACCTGCCTGACGCCCTTTTCTTTCTCTCTGAAATCAGCATACAAAGATTATCCAAGAGAAGTAGAAAGAGAGAGCAGAGAGTTGATGTTATTACCAGTAGTGGTTAGAGGCCAGAGCAGGTACTCGGTTACACTCATATTTATTATGGTAGCAGAAAGAGACAGACGTTACTTATTTGATTACGTGAACCTGTGGGCTTTCCTCCACTTATTACATTCTTGGTCGACAAAAGTGAGTTTGCGATTAGTGGATTTAATCACTAGATTTGTAAAACTGTTTGAAGCGTCTAGTTGTCTTCAAAAGATATTTCTCCAGGCAAGAATTTAGTGTGAACGTTTATTTTTTCTTCTTGTGTTTCAATAATCAAACAACCCCTTTGAAATATACAAAACAAACAACAAAATAATTGTATGTATAATGACTAGCTCCAACACTGTTTTTTCTACAAAATTACATGCAAAAACTCCAATAGAAATCTTGTGTTTACATAGATTTGCTCATAACTCTACTGGAAATATGTAATTTAGCATGAAAAATGACTAATCGAGCACATTCATTTTGGTTGACAATTAAAAGGGGACAGCCATGTGTGAAACAATGAAAAAACCCTAAATGGAAACAAATGGTGATCGCAATATTAACAATGATCTTGTGGTAAATCCTGCAAAGACTTTTCTTATAATGGATGTGTACTTCTTTGATTGTACTACCTTGTCCTTGCTGTGGGATCGTGAAAGTCTCCAATGGGTAAGGTAACTGATTCGTATATACACATAAGAAACATTTAAATGTATAATTGACTGGGTTTCCCCTTTATTGAGAGCTGAGGCTTCTTGAATTCCCTTTTAATGTCCTGTCCATTACTGTGAGGGAAGATCCAATTTCACCTCAGTTAATTCAGCACGTTAACTGAAATCCAATAGGCCGGCAGCTTTCTTTTCCCACTCGTATGTCGAATCAGCTGGAGGTGGCCGGGCGCCCGAGCCCGCGGCTAACAGCGGGGCTTTATGGCACCCACTCAATAACTTTACACAAAGTTTGCCTTGGACCCTGTTATTAAAGAAGTGCTGTGATGTACTTTGTAGTTGTATGTAGGAGCAGCTAGCGACACAAACTCATCAGTATCAATTTACATGTCAGCTCTATTGTAATTAATGTGTTTTTTTCTTGCGTTGCTTTCAAACATAAGCGACGGTAATTGACTTAACCATCTCTTTTCTATCCCTCTGTTGTCCCTGTCTCTCGCTCTCTCTCTCTCTCTCTCTTTGACTAATGAAGCGCACGCGAGCGGGCTGCAGGGATCGATGCAGGGTGAAATATGAAAGCTAGTCAGCCCACAGACGAATCATTTCGCAACGGAAATTAATTATCAGTGTTATTTTTGGAGGAGCCGCATGGCAATGAGTGATTTCACAGAGACGCAGAGGACAGTGTGTGGGAGTGTGGGCGCCTGAGGAGGAATACGTACGCTTTTGTTGCTGCATTTAATGGAGAAGTGGAAGTACAGTTTTACCCTTGATACATGCAAAGAAACGGTATGTTTATCGACTGGACTCGCATATGCTAGTCTCAGTGTGTGGCTGATAGTGGTGAATGTGAAGGGGAGGCTAAGGCCTTGAAAGGAGATTGAGAAGGACAGAAGGAGAAGACAAACACCGTCTGTTCATCCAGGGAAAAAAAAAGCCACTGATTAGTATGGAGGGAGCAGGTCTGAATAAATGGATGGAGGGGGAGGGGGGGGTTGGGGGGGACAGAAATGGATGGTGGCAAGTAGGGAGGAGGGTCTGTTTAACTGAAAATAACCTCGATGCTCACTAACAGCCAAAGAGAAAAAGCGTGAAGATGAGATGATGCAGAATGTGCTGTGTTAATATGAGCATCACTTAACTCCCCTTTTCACCAACCTATTAATACATTCTCATTAAAAATGATGATCAAGCTCTGTCTCACTCCCCTTATTATCTGCACAACCACTTTCCCTCGCTCGCTCTCTCACCTCATCCTCCCCGTTTGCCTCTGAGACAATGGGAACAAGTTACAGATGAGCTTTCTAAATTAAGGTACCCACACCCAACCGTCATTATAATAGAGCCTGTGTCAGTGTGCTAGGTTCAGCTAGCCTCTTCTCCCTTTCAACACTCAGTAATGCCCTGCCTGAGATTCCAAGTAAAGCTATTACTCAGCTGCTATCTGGACTAAAGGCGTCGTAAACTTAACAGGACAAAGGTGATAATAATTCCAGTCAATGTGTGAGAGTGCTCTGGTTCTTCTGTGCTTGTCCTCAAAGGCATAAAACACAAACGATGGAAATGTGCTTCCAGTTGAAGAGAGTCTCACAGTCTCACTTCTGGACAGCGTTAACTGTGCAGCTGTGGTCAGGAGATAGTTAGCTTAGCATAGCCTTAAGACAGAGATAAATAAAAAAATCATACTATAGAAACACAATAGTTTAGAAGACTTAATAAGACATTTTGTTTTTGTACAGAGCCAGGCTAAGTGTTTCCACTTCTTCTAGCCATCTTGCTTAGCTAAACCTCCCCTGGTTAGCTTACGTAAGCATAGCCTAATAACTTGAAGCATGCAGGCAGAGAAAAACATACTTTAGATACACACACACATTTTAGAAGGCCAAGTAACAAGTTTTTTTTAAATGTTTCCTTTGTACAGAGCCAGGCAAACTAGTTTCCCTTCTTCTAGCCATCTTGCTAAGCTAAGCTAACCCTGGCCCGAGGTTCACAGTAATATACAGACAGTATCAAGCAGTATTGATCTTCTTATCTTATCGGGGAAGTAAAGGAAATAAGTGTAATCTAAAGATAAAAGTCCTTTCATGTCATAGCGTTGTCCATAGATAATCATATCAGCAAGTGTAATCACCTTATTATCAATATTTTGTTTGTCCGTTGCCATGACAAGCAACAGCGCTATGTAACGTTATGACTGCAGTCTAAAGTCTTAAACACATTCCACTGCACGTCAGAATTCCCCCTGCATTCCACACACACACACACATGCACACGCACACGCACACGCACACACACACACACACACACACACACACACACACACACACACACACACGAAGTACCTTTGGCTGTACCTGTCGCTCTCCCAGAATGCACAAGTGGGAGCAAGGGAGCGTGGGAGAGCCGTCAGCTGTGACTGACACACGGTAATTAATCCTGGGAGAGAGAGAGCGACGGGGGAGAGTAACGTTCACAGAACCTTCGTACAACGTCAGCTCAACATGGCCTTAACATTTGCACTCCTTACGGGTGGATTCCAGGGGGACACTAAGAAAGTTTTTCCTAAAGAAAGTTGGTGATTTATTTTATCCCTCGTCTCCTTTTCTGTTCATTTACGGCCTTTCCAATTTGCTCTGAGCCTTACTCTTTCTTTCCTGTCGCTCCCTTCTTTAATCTCAGTTTTTTCTCCTCCTCCTCCTCCTCTTCTCCCCCCGTTCTCCTTCTTCCATCCCTCTCTCTTTCTGTCTCTTTCTATCAGTGATTGTTAGGCGAGTGTTGCGCAGGGCTCGCCAAAAAGAGCAGGCTAAATTGGCCAGAACATCGACCCCGCTATTACCATCCGGCTGGAATTCATTCAATGCCCCCCTCGAGTCTGCGTTCATTCCTCACCCCCCATCCCTCCCTCTTCCTCCACCGAAAAACCGCCGCTAAGAAAACTGGGCAAAATCTGAGAAACACATCGAGGGCCAAAAGAAACCCCAAAATGGAGAACACCCCCTCATTTGAACCTGAACGCAGCTCCCACGAGTGTCTGTTCCTGAACCTCATTACCGCCCTGTGGTGCAAGCCTGTGTATTTATTTATATCATGTATATTGCTTTTTCCTGCCCTGAACTTATTTTGATATTGTATATTTTAACTGAATGCTTTGAATCGACTTAGCTGCATATTGTTAGAGGATCTACCTGTTGCCTATGTTCAAACTAATTGGATCTAAGGACCATAGAATATATATTTTTCTATGTATTTTTTAAACATAGCTATAAAAGTGGCCTTGAGACAACAACAACAGTAATTGAGAAAAAAGCAGTGGTAGCAAACCGGGGAATGTAAAAAGCAGGGCAAGAAACTTAAAATAAACCCTGAAAAAGTTGCCAAAAAGGACTGTTAAGGCGTGGACAAATATGTTTCTTAAACCCCATAAAACAAATGTATCCCTCCAGGATCCTCAGGCATATTGATTCAAAGTGTGGGAGGCAAGTGTGTGTTGCTTATAATCTGAAAAGCGGGTTTTTCGATTAAATGTAGCACACATTAATCGCCGATCAAAAGAACAATTGCTGCAAACAAGCAAAGGTGCAAAACAGTCTCTGACGGACCGACGACAGAAAGAGACACACAATGACAGAATTACACAGCATCCAGTTTTAATCATCACCTTGCGTCGCTATAGCTTCTGAGCTAAGAGAGGGGGAAAGCGGTTTCAATTACACACACACACACACACACACACACACACACACACACACACACACACACACACACACACACACACACACACACACACACACACACACACACACACACACACACACACACACACACACACACACCCAATTACCAGAGATGCTGGCTCTTTCCCAGCCTGACCTTCAGCGAGCAAACTGGGAAATTACTTTAAGAGCGTTTTTTTTATTTTTCTTCATCTGCTCTGTTCGTGACTCGTGAGTGGGTTTTGAGAGAAGGAAAGAGAGAGAGTGAAAACAAGATGTGGATGAGGAGGGATGTGTGAGTGACAGCTGTAATTACACAGCTCTAACATGTGGGTGAGAAGTAAAAAAAAATTAAATGTGCGAGGAAGGAAAACATCAGACGACAGACGGGGTGAGAGTTTAAAGGTCAAATGTTGCAAAAGGTCGGAGAAGGAGTCCAGCTAATGTTCAGTTCCTAACCGTGGAGTTTGAAACGGCATCGCACCGCCGTGTAAAATAAGCGCCGTAATGAGCTTTGACAGCTGTTGCTCGCAGCAGCCGAGCTGAAATGCCACACGGACTAACAGGACAATCGAGATGAGCTGCGGGATCAGGCAATAAAATAAAGGCAAGTAACTCAATATATTAGTGATGTGGCAAAAACAGTAATGGAGTAGGGCATGTGGAATAAGGCTTGTGCTTTTATTTAGTCAAAGAAAGTTAATTTAAGGTTAAAAAAGTTTGATGTTTGGATAGTTTTTTTAACCTCTCTGTTTTATTATTTACGTGCTGCTCCTTTAAAGTTGATTAAACAATCTCAGAGAGGTACTTCTAGTTAAATTAATAACAGCTTAACACTAAATAAAAGCAAAACAAATTCAAAAATCCTGTTTGAATTAGGTTTTATATCTGGATAAATGCTTTTGAATATGTTCGGAGATAAATAATAATTTTTTTTTTTAACTAATCCGTGACTTAAAAAGGTGTAACTTGTAAAACTTGGGTACTTATCCCTATTTAGTGGTGACTTTGACCAAACAACAGTTAATGGAAGACAAAGAAAATCAGCTAATTCTGTAATTTTATATTTGGTATCCTAGCTAGAAAAATATTTCAAATTATGAGTTAGTTTCAAATAAAAAATCTGACTAATCTATTCCTCAACTGATCCTTGCAGCTCAACAAGTCCAGTGAGTTCAACAGAGTCTGTTTATGATCCCAGTAAACACTTTGGGTGTTTGGGAGACACTTGGAAAAGCTTTGCAAAAATAGCAATCAGCTCCAGATATGTATAGCCAGAATGCATTAATCAAAGATGTTCAGATTACCATCTTGTTCCAGTACAACTCGTGTTCTTAATCATAAAATATCCCACATTGTGTATGATGTTGCCGCGCAGCAGGGGAATCATTAGAGGCCGGTTTAGTTTCTGCTCCGACAGCTCGGTGTTGTGCAGGAGGAGTTCGGCTGCTCGTCGGATTCAATAAACCGTTCCGCTGAGTGATGAATCCACAGGAACTCGACAGATCATTCGGGCCAAAACGCGGGCCAACTATGAGCTAAGCAACTCAGCAGATGTTTGGTTGTTAAAACTGACTTGTGACACATACTCACTCATATGCAGAAGTCTGTCATGTGTACGAATAGTGTTTTTTATCCTGGGAAATAAGAGTGCGGGGCTTTTTGTGTTACGTGGGTTCATATTTCTAACAGAATGAACTCCCGGTATTTGTGACTCAGGGATGGAAAAAGGAAAGAGGTATCATTAGGAGTGTTCATATTATTTGTCGGGGGAGGATTCACCGGTGCGTGACTCACAAACAGAAGAAATAAAAGTGCTTCCTTGGGCTTAACGCCTTCCTGTATTCAGTCACCTTTGTTTCTCCGTGGTACCTTCCCCTCTTTCTCTATCACAACATCCCTGCAATTTCAGCTTTCCACCAAACCCGTTTTTCTACCTTTTTTTGGTCATCTCGTCACATCACCGCTAACGTCTTATCTCTATTTGTCTTTCTCTCTCGCCCCGCTCTGTTTGTTTTGCAGCCTCTCTGTGGAAGACTGGATCTGGGATACAGCGGTGATTTACACCCCCATTAGTTATCCGTCACCGTGACTGATCACTAAGTACCACCTGGAATCAAAAGACACCTATTAAACCAGCAGCCGCCTGCTTTATGTTTCGGCAGAAAGGCTGTCTCTCCGTGAGCGCTCGGGTAATTCAGGTTGACATTGTAAAAGAAACAGATAGCGAGAGAGAGGAATAAAAACCATGGCTGGGTTGAGGCAGAAGCCATAACTCTGTGTGTGTTCTTTTCTATATATAATATATATATATATATATATATATATATATATATATATAATACGGTATTCCTGCACTTTAAACTGTGTACAGAGATGGCAAAAGTACACACATCCTTTACTCAAGTAGAAGTACAGATACTCGTGTTTAAAAATACTCTGGTAAAAGTAGAAGTACTGACTAAACTTCTTTACTCAAGTGAAAGTAAAGAGGGCTTTGAAATGTACTTCAGTAAAAAGTACCCATAACTAGCAGCTGTTTTAAAGAGTACCTGACCTCCCTTTATATTAATAGAACAATAATGTCATTGTTAGCTAATGAATGTTTCCATGCTGAACAACGGCAACATGACAACGTTTTCATTGGTCCCTCTTCTTTAGAGAAGACCAGGAAATGATGGATACACGGATCGTGTTCAAATCAATAGGCACGCAATGACTCTAAATAATAATGATCACGCCACCAAACACACATTCAAACTAAAGGAACCAGCCTGTTTGGGAAATGTGAGAAGTAGAAAGTACAGGTATTTGTGTTCAACATGTGAGAAGTAGAAAGTACAGGTATTTGAGTTCAACATGTAAGAAGTAGAAAGTACAGGTATTTGTGTTCAAAATGTAAGAAGTAGAAAGTACAGGTATTTGTGTTCAAAATGTAAGAAGTAGAAAGTACAGGTATTTGTGTTCAAAATGTAAGAAGTAGAAAGTTCAGGTATTTGTGTTCAAAATGTGAGAAGTCAAAGTAAAAAGTCTAAAAAATAAGTAGTGGAGTAAAGTACTGATACCAGAAAAATGTACTTAAGTATATAACGAAGTATTTGTACTCCACTACTTCCCACCTCTGACAGTATGTTAGATGTTGGTGTACTTACGGGTGCAGGGCATGGACGCCGGGTCTGTTTCAGAGCGGAAGTATCCCTTGTCGCAGACGCAGGAGGTGGATGCCTCTCTGGTGGAGTAGCTGTTGAGCGGACACTTGGAACAGGAGCCGTCGGTGGCCAAGGCGCGGTAGTAACCGATCTTGCAGGCTGAAACATAACAAGGACACAGAGGAGGGTAAGTTTGGTTTAAGACAGGACGTCAAGATGAAAAAACAAGAAGGCCTACATTGAGTACAGCTTTTATATTAGAGAGGGACGGTGTAGAGATGGCTAAGATGCTGGAGGAAAAGTTACAGGATCAGAAAATCCATTACGATGGATCTTCAAGAAACCAAGAACGTCTGTACAAAACTGCATGGCAACACATTGAATAGAAAAGTGGATATCTATGGAAGTCAATTTGTAAACTACGTGCATAAAATGTATTACACATGAAGTGACTGTCTAATAGATAATAAGGCGATGTTGCCATGGCATTGCACATCCAAATAATTGTTTAGCAATGGAAGACAAGAAGAGAAGACTGTGATCTTGCCAATTTCCCCCAATTAGCAACCAGAAAACAATTTGTTGCCCAGAGGCTTCTAACTGTTTCCCCGACTCTCCCTCCCTTTGTCTTCATGTTCCATCTTCAGCGCTTTCTCCCCTTTCTACTTTCTCACGAACCTGAAATCTATTATCAAAAACAACTGAACAGGAGTACAGGGCTCCATTTCCTCTGACAAAAAAAAGGAGAAGATCAAATATCTACGTCTTGTCTTTCTCACAAATATAAGCTATGCACAATTGGCATGACTTGAAGCAGCCATTAAACAAAGAGCCATTGGCATTTCAGACCATTTAACAAACAAATGCCGCCACACTTGGCACACCGGGAGCCCTGTCACTCTCACACATGCACCTAAACACACACTTAACTCTGAAATGGTAACCTAAGTGACACTTTTCCTACTATTGGCGACAGTGCTCGCCTTTCCTTTGAGTGACAGTTTGATTGGAGGGCTCGTGTTTCGAGGAGTTTCTCCCCCGTCTATCGGTTTCTATAATGGCCAGGGAAGCCGAGCAGGGTTTATGTTTCACCCTGTGAGCACTGAACCAGAAGACGAGGACAAAAGAACAATTCTCCGAGAGGTGCGGCGCAGACAGTTCCAACACCGATTGGACCAAATAACCTGTCAGTCAAGGAGGCTGCCATTAATCGGCGAATGGCATTGGGGCTGGAGGGTCTCTCCACTGTGGTGTCTAGTAGAGTGGGTGTGCAAAATGTGTGTGTTGTTATACAGTAAAGACCCTTTGGAGACAGATGGGTAAATCCATACCCAATATAAATCAGATAATTACACACTTATAGTCTGCAAGGGGTAAAGCGACACCCAATGCCTGCACACACATAAAAGCTTGATGTCGACACACACACAAACCCAGATGTATTTGAAAAGGCATGGGTTGCAATGCCACAGTCATAACACTTCAGGGGATCTTGCGCACAAAAGAACAGTCACATAATAAACAAACTCCCATATGTGTTCACCACACTAGAAATCAAATCAATTCTTTTCCACACACACCACCGCAGTGAAGAGGAAGTCCGTACTTCAACAAAAACACACATTCCACTAACCACCCGACACGCTGACACATTCAGACAGAAAAATAAATCCACAAACCCCCTAAAATGCTGGGAAATGCCTCACTTGGAGGCGCATTAGAGTCAGGCTCTTTGCCCCCAGCGGCTCTTCTCCAGCAGCTGGATTAGGACAGCGCGGCGTTAACTGAGCCGGACTAGCTGCTACCTGCTGAGCCTTTCTTTGCCCGTTCCCACTCAGTCAATCAGGGCTAAATCCCTGCCGCTTCACTCGCTAACGCTAAGCTAAGGGTCTCTTTGATTGTAGCCTGCAGGGGTGCGTGAAGCCTCCGTTTCTTTTCTTCACGGTTGCTAAAAAAGGGGTAGAGATTAGTCTGGAGGTGCTTTGTGTTATCTCTCTATGTTAAAAGCAATCATTCGACGCCCAATCTCATCACCAAAGACAGAAGGACACTGGGATCTGTGGGTATTGTTTAAGAGGTTGTGACTGCTTCGGGGGGACAAAACACACAAAAGTTGCTGTTAGTGTTTGTACATGTGCGCTGAGCAGGAAAAGTGTCCTGAGTTGAGAGTGGGGTCAACCAGCTGTTTGGGATAGTGGCCCCTTTGCTAAAAAAAAGCTGTAGGGAGAGTTAATTGAGTCCCATGCTTCACAGCCTTTGGGCCTGAGCCTCTTAAAAGGGACACAGTCTAAGAGCCGGCGACCTCAAACTGTGCACGGTTGATGAGTTTTTCGCTCGTCAATTATTAAGCTGTCCCAGGCTGAACCCGGAGTCCCTTCAAGCCGTCCCACAACTCCCAAATCCCTGTTAGCCATACACAGCGTCTTCATCTGCGGTTTGCATTTCAGGAAATTGTGTTTGAAAAATGTGATGTCAACATATGAAGGCTTGTTTACAGCAGCCACTGCCCCCCCAGAAGGCAACAGCGGAGGGCAAAAGAGAGGTCGATATCCAAGTAAAGCTGGGGAATTTGCTTCCTATTAGGAGTGTGAGTGTGTGTTGGTGAGGGAAGAGACCGCACTAGTGGGTGGTCCAAAAGGCCGTGGCTTCAGAGGGGAATCTCCCTTAAGACTTGTTGGATTTATCACTGTCCGGACCAGTGGTTTCAAACCCGCACCCAGACACACGTATGTATTTCGTTTTTATGGGATATGAGCTGAGAAGCCCTCATCATATCCACAGCTCTAAGAACCCATTTTTTCCACTCTATATATCGTCTCCTTTTTCTGCCCGGTCGCTCACTAACTCTCTTGTGTGTGTGTGTGTTTTTTCTTTCTCCCCCCCCATCTATCTCTCTCTCCCACTCTCCTAGGCTTTCTCTCAACAGGCCTCCTTTCAGACAGAGAGGGGTTTGTCAGGTGCCAAATCCCTTAGCTGAGAGATCAAAGGCAGACAAAGAGACTGGTGACTTACTGTTCTATTCTGGAAAGGCAAAAAAAAAAAAAATGGAATCCCTCATAGACCCGGACATTGCATTCTTCCCCCTTTTCTCCCCCAGTAGGTCTTTCACTCATTCGAACCTCATCTCTGGCTTTAGTCTTTTTTCCCCTTTTGTCAGCCTTTCCCCCCCCCCACCTCTTCCCCATCCCTGTTGTCTCTAAGCTGGAGCACGTTTGGAGGGAAAAGGGGTGGAGGGAGAGGTCTGTGGGAGTTAACGAGTAGTTTTGTCCGTGTGGCGGGGATTCTGCTGGCTGAATTGGCCGCACCGCGTGAAGGGAGGGGAAAAATAGTCGACGCAGCCATCTGCAAAAAAAATAGGAGTGCACAAAAGCTAATGATACAATGATAGCTACCCACACGCGAGCCAACTTAAGCCAAGCTAAATTTTCCTCTGAGTGGCAACAACCTACACAGCAGCAGGCTTTGAACAGTCATGGATGCTCCCCACACTACTGCCAAATGAAAAACCTACACTCCCACCCACTGCAGCCCACCTTGAGTGACCTGCATGCAAAGCCTGATAGGCAAGCTATTCTGCAGCCTACACAACAAAGTATCCAATACACTGGGGACTGAAAGCATGAGAGCTAACTTGAGCTACAATAGCCTTCCAAAAAACCCCAGGAATATAACACCCAGCGCACGGCTCACAATAACCAGGCCTGCCCAGGCAGAACAATTGCCTCTTTTATATAATCAAAAAGGGAGAATTAAGTTCAAGCTTCACGATTCTGCCTCCTTTCAAGCCGGCGCTTTATCTGCTTTGGGTGATGAAAACTCAGTCACTCTTTTTTTTGTCACAACAGACAGTGAGCGCTCTTCAGAAGAGAAGTCAGAGGAGTCCTCACAAAGACACTCTTTGAAAAAAAAACAAGCGATCATCTTTCAGGACCTGAGGGCAAGGAGAGTCTCTGCCTCTCCACTACGATCTCTATTAAACCTCCTTTTCTGACATATCCCTCTGCCTTTGTGTCTCTTCTATCTCTCTTTCTCCCTGTGGATGGCAGAGTGTTCAGGTGAGACTCCTGTTGGAAAGGATTACTATTCCAAGAGTGCTTTGTTTACCCCCCGGTTGCAGTCACTCAAAGTTGTTTTTTTTAAAGAACATTCAAAGTCTTGGATGTATACTGTCTATGCCAGGGTTGTCCAAACTACGGCCCGCGGACCGTTTTGAATCGGCCCTCAGCAAATTCAAAATGGAATATGGCCAACAAATGAAACTTGTGCTTGTCTTATATTATACTTCTTAAATATGAATGTAAACATATATTACACAGTATTATTCATGTGGTAATGAGACCACTTTTCAAATAAATTCAGTCAATTCAAGTTGGAAACATTTTCTAACATATCTTAGTTGATAAGAAAAAAGCCCAATGACTTATTTACATATCAAGCTTGAAATACACTCTTCATATTTCTCCTTATTATCAATCTGAGGGATGAGCTGCCAACACTCACAAGCATCATTTACCTACATTTGATTGATTTTGCTAACTTAATACTGAACTTATGAGGCGATATACCTCTAGCGAGTGGCCCAGCCCTTCGTATATTTTTCTGTATGTGGCCCTCGGTGGAAAAAGTTTGGACACCCCTGGTCTATGCCAACCCAGACAGGCATACAGAGAATAAAAGACAATCCACCATCAATACACCTGGCGTATTAGCATTGATAACTAGCCGCTGACCGTTAGCATCTGTCTGTGTAACAGCAGGAGAGCGGAGCAGGTTAACTCATTAATGCCGTCACTCGGGTTATTAATTACCTCCGGCAGCGTTACCCATCAGGCTGATGGATGAGGGACACACGGAAAGCGAAACTGATCACCATGATTGATGACATACACTCCTCACACATTTTGACCTTGACCTAGGGGGAAAAGGTCCCACACTAGTGGTGCCGACCTTTAATATGCAAAACGAGAAAAAGTAGCGCAGTGACATCTGGGTTGACATGCTCACAAGTGTTAATGAAGGCCAAGAACAAAAGCCAGCGAGGCTAACGATGATAATAACACACAAGCCAACCTTCCTGACAATCACAGCAGATTTGCTAATGGTGGCCAGTGCCAACGGGGGGGGGGGGGGGTATGAGATGCCAGCAGCTTGTCTGTCAA